TGCAGATGGTGACTGCAGCCATGAAATTAAAAGATGCTTGCTCCTTGGAAGAAAAGCTATGACCAACCTAGACAGCGTATTAAAAAGTAGAGACACTACTTTGCCAACAAAGGTTCATCTAGTCGAAGCTATGGTTTTTCCAGTAGTCACATATAGATGTGAGTTTGGACCATAAGGAAAGCTGAGCGCTGAAGAATTGATGCTTTTGAACTATGGTGTTGGAGAAGACTCTTGAGAGTCCCTTGGACTGCAAGGAGATCAAACCAGTCCATCCTAAAGGAAATCAGTCCTGAATATTCATTGGAAGGACTGATGCTGAAGCTGAAACTCCAATACTTTGGTCACCTGATACGAAGAACTGACTCATTGGAAAAGACCCTGATGTTGGGAAAGATTGAAGGCGGGAGAAGAAGGGGATGACAGAGGATGAGTTGGTTGGGTAGCATCACTGACTTGATAGGACATGAGTTTGCATAAACTCTGGGAGTTGGTGACTGACAGGGAAGTCTGGCATGGTGTTGTCCATGGGTTCACAAAGAGTCGGACATGACTGAGTGACCGAACTGAACTGAACATATGTACCAGGGTAAATGTACAGTGATTTCACATGGAGAAGGTGTTTTCAGAAAGCTTTCAGAAAGATGTGTGGGGTGTAAATTGTGAAATATTTTTACATACTATCCAGGGTGGGATGTCTCCAGAAGAACCACAAACAAAAAAAAGGTTGTGAAAAATATTAAAGGGCTTATAGTTACCTATTTGTAAACCTGCACATTCTTTTGACTAGTGGAAACTAGCATGTGGTTTGGTGGAGTTGAGGGGAGGCAACACTGGCAAGGAGGTGCAGGGGTAGCGAGGTAGGCAGAATCTTGGAAATTGCATTTGTAGGCAGTTAGAAGCAACCAGCGAATGTTATTCAGAACAGTTCACTTGCCAGAATACTTTAATGGAATTCTAGATATGACCTGCTTGACATGTCTTTGCCCCTTTCTGTCTCCAGGGCTAAAAGAAGATAAAAGAAGAATTAGAAGAAAGCTGAATGAATAAAGATGGGAGCCTTCATGATACAGAAAAGACCTCAGCAGGTACAGGGGAGGGTTCTGCAGTGGGGTGGGGTTCTGCTCACAGTTCTGCTGCAGTGGCCCCTGAGACTCTGACAGGAGGAACTTCCAGAAGCAGGGACCTTCTCCTCCTATAAACACACTCTGTTTCATCTCACAATAACAAAGAGAGTTGTGGTTGTAGGTCCAGGCAGCCAGTCAGAATCTTTCCTAGCACATTTCCAAACCTGCCCTTGATGTACAGTCACAGGTGAAGTCAGACATGTCCATTTGCTTTTTCAAGACAACTTGGTCACTGAGAAGGTGGAGGTTTGAGGGATGAGAGGTTGTAGCTCTTAGGACTGACTTTTGTTTTCTCCCTTCTTTAACATCTTCCTGGAGCAGCAGAGCAGTACGAAAGAGAAGCAGCTAAGAGGGAAAAGGATTCTCTTGAGCAAAAGGTTAAAGAGCTGCTACGAATGTTAGAGAGCCAAGGAAGAGCCTTCAAGATATTTAGAGTCAAAATCACAGGCGAGATGAGAGAAAGAGACAACCTTCTGAGAAGGATGAACAAGAGGATTGAGATGCTGGAGGTAACTTGGTGTGGGTCTGGGCAGTGATGGTAGAAAAAGTCCTCAAACCCCAGGAAGGGATGGGTGGAAATTAAAGCAAAGTCATAGAGAGAAGCACCATGGTCCTTGACTGCTTTTGACTCATTAGAAGCTCTGAGTTTTTAATGGTTATTTATTTAGTTGCTAGATTGTGTCTGACTCCTTGCAATCCCCTGGACTGTGGCTACAGTACCCTGCCAGTCTCCTCTGTGCATGGAATTCTCCAGGATAGAATACTGGAGTGGGTTGCCATTTCCTTCTCCAGGGGATCTTCCCAACCCATGGGTCAAACTTGTGTCTCCTGCACTGGCAGGTGGATTCTTTACCACTGAGCCACCAGGGAAGGCCTTTTAATGGCTTAAATCCAAGCATTTAGGTTCTTATCACAGTGAGCTTCTGAAGATTCCAGGAGGACCTTGGAACCTCCATGCATTTATAAATAACTTTCCCATGATTTGAGAGAATAGCATTGAAACATGTATATTACCATATGGGAAATAGATCACCAGTCCAAGTTCGATGCATGAAACAGGGCGCTCAAAGCCAGTGCACAACCCTGAGGGATGGGATGGGGAGGGAGATGCGAGGAGAGTTCAGGATGGGGGATACATGTATGCCTATGGCTGATTCATGTCAGTGTATGGCAAAAAGCACCACATACTGTAAAGTAATTAGCCTCCAATTAAAATAAATAAATTAATTTAAAAATAAAAACTTTCCCAGAGCTTGTGTTGCTGTTTTGAGGGATTCCTGGATGATCTCATGGAGTCAGTATTAACTAGGATTCCCAGGGTTATCAGGTGGTTATTCTGAGTGTATCTACTAGATGCAGGAGATGTTACTGGAGCAGTACATGTAATTTGTCTTAATAGTTGATTCTTCATGTCACCCACTCTACCTCAATGCCATCTTATTGGCTACAGATTTACTACTATTCAAACCCTGATGGCTCAGTGGTAAAGAATCTGCTTGCAATGCGGAGACTTGGATTCAATCCCTGGGTTGGGAAGATCAACCCGGTCCAGTGTTCTTGCCTGAGAAATCCCATGGACAGGGGAGCCTGGTGGGCTATACACTTCATGGGTTCGCAAGAGTTGGACACAACTTAGTGGCTAAACCACCATCATAGTAGCAGGATCTTGATTCCTTTAAGAGAGTCTAAATCACTATATTACTCCAAGTGATCTCCTCCTGTTCCAAACTCGGGTACTTTTTCTGGAAAACTGTCTGATCTCTGAAGCAGAGCAAAGACACTCAGATGTCCTTGACAGAACATGCCCCAGGTTTCCTTATCTACTTGGAACACATCTAGCTTATTTTTAGCTTGTTGTTTTTTCTGTACATTCTCTATATTCACAGTCAACCAATTTCCTCTGGGAAGATCTCTTACCAGATCATTCTTCATCTTTACTTTGCTTTTAGTTGTATTACTGTTAACTGTATCCTGTAGATAGAATCTCAGGATGCTACAACTGCAAGGACCCATAGAGATTATATAATATAAATTAAACATCTTGCAAACATGGTTCAAGGAGTTGGCATTTATCACCAACTCAATGCGCATGAGTTTGAGTAAACTCCAGGAGTTGGTGATGGACAGGGAGGCCTGGCGTGCTGTGATTCATGGGGTCGCAAAGAGTTGGACACGACTGAGCGACTGAATTGAACTGAACTGAACTGAGTAGCCATAAAGAGACTATTTTCCCAGATGGAGTAATTCAAGTTTTCTTAAACAGGTTTATTGAGAGAGAATTTAAAAACTATCAATATAAAAAAAACTATCAATATAAATTTCATTTATTAAAAATACATGATTGATATGAATTACTCATGTGAATGTACACTGATTTCACATGGGGAAGGTTTTCTCTGAAATCTTCCTGCAAGAGGCATATGATGTAAATTTTGAAAAACTGGTACATCTTATTCAAGGTGGGATGTTATCAGAAGAGTCAAAAGCAGAAAAAACAGCATATGAAAAATATAAAAGTGCCAAAATTTGCATATTTGTTAAACTGCACATTCTTCTGATGGGTGGAAGCTAGCATGCTGAGGGGGAAGCAACATGGTGAGGAGGCTGCAGGGGTATCCAGGTAGGTGGGATCTGGAAAATTTACCTGTAGGCAGTGAGAAGCAACCAGGAAGTGTTGCATGAAACAGTTCATTTCTCAGAATGTTTCAGTGGAAGTTTAAGTTTGACCTGCCTGACATGGCTTTACCCCTTTGTGTCTCCAGATCTTAAGAAAGATAAAGAAAGAACAAGAGGAGTGCTACATGAAGAAAGGTGAGGAGTGGAGAGAGGCTCAAGAAAGAGTGGATATATGTATATATGTATGTAGATAATTATGACCAATTCATGTTGTATGGCAGAAACCAACACAACATTCTAAAGCAATTTTCTTGAAGTAAGCCAGAAAGATAAAGACCAATACACTATACTAACACATATATATGGAATTTAAAAAGATGGTAACGATAACCCAATATGCAAAACAGAAAAAGAGACACAGATGTACTGAACAGACTTTGGGACTCTGTGGGAGAAGGCGAGGGTGGGATGTTCTGAGAGAATAGCGTTGAAACAGGTATACTATCAAGGGTGAAACAAACAGATCACCAGCCCAGGTTGGATGCATGAGACAAGTGCTCAGGGCTGGTGCACTGGGAAGACCCAGAGGGATGGGATGGGGAGGGAGGCGGGAGGGGGGACCAGGATGGGGAACACATGTAAATCCATGGCTGATTTATGTCAATGTATGGCAAAAACCACTACAATATTGTAAAGTAATTAGCCTCCAACTAATAAAAATAAGTGGAAAAAAAAAAAGCTGGGGATCTATAAATGACAAATAGCTATATTAAAGAAATTAACTTTACATACTGAACCACTGCTAATGACATTTTAATTAATAAAAGTTGCTTTTGAAAAAAAAAACAAAACGTTGATTAAAATTTGAAAAAAAGAAAGCTCCTTCATGATTCAGAAAAGACCTCAGCAGGTAGAAGTTGGGCTCTCCTCACAGTAGAGAGGGGAGGTTCCTGCAGTGACCTCTGAGACTCTGACAGGAGAACTTCCAGAAGGATGAGCTCCCTCACCTCTTGTGAACTCACTCTGCTACATCTGAAATAACAAGGAGAGTTGTGGTTGTAGGTCTAGCCAGCCAGTCATGGCCTTTCCTAGCATGTTTTCATACCTGCCCTTATGTGTGGCCACAGGTGAATTCAAACATGTCCATCTGCTTTTTTCAGACAGTTTGGTCACTGAATGTGGAGGTTTGGGGGATGAGAGGTTGAAGCTCTCAGAGTTGACGGTTGTTCCCTTTCCTTTCTAAAAATCTTCCTGGAACAGAGGAGCAGATCAAAAGAGAGGCAAATGAGAGGGCAAAAGACCCTTCTGAGCTAAAGGTTCAAGAGCTGCAGCAAAAGTTGGAGAACCAAAAGAGAGTTTTGGAGAGATTAAGAGCCAGAATGAGAAAGGAGATAAGAGAAAGAGAGAAGACCTCAGCAGGTACAGGGGAGAGTTCTGCTCACATTGAGGTGGGGAGGTTCTTGCAGTGCTCTGTGAGACTGCTACAGGAGGAATTTCCAAAAACAGGGACCCTCTTCTCCTTCTCTGAACACACTCTAAGCTATATCTGAAAACAACAAGGTAAGATGATATAGGTCCAACCAGGGTGCCAGGGCCTTTCCTAGCACACTCCCCAAACTGCCCTTAATGTGTGGTCACAAGTGACTTGAAATGTTTTATGCGTCCACCTGCTTCTTCTACAGTTTGGTCACTGAGAAAGGAGGGTTGGGTTCCGGAGGGTGTAGGTCTCAGATCTGACTGTTGTTTTCTTCCTCCTCTAAATCCTTCCTGGAGCAGAAGAGTGGGCCAGAGGAGAGGCAACTGAGAGGGAAAAGGAACCTCTTGAACAAAAGGTTAAAGCATCACAGTCAAAGATGGAGGGTGACCAAAGTGTCTTCTTGAAAGGAGTTAGACTCCAAACGACAAAGAAAATGAGAGAAAGAGAAAACCTTCTGAGAAGGATAAACGAGAGGTTTGAGATGTTGGAGGTAATCTAGTATGGGTCTGGGCAGTGACTGTGGAAAAAGTATTGGGACCTCAGGAAGTGGTGGGTGGAAATTAAAGCACAGTCACAGAGAGAAGCACTATTCTCCTTTATTGCTTTCAATTCACTAGAAGCTCTGAGATTTTAATGGCTTATATCCAGGCTTTTGAGTTCAGTTCACAGTTTTTGAAGAGTCCAGGAGAACCTTGGTATCTCCAAACATTTGTAGAATATAAATAACTTTTCCAAGCCTTGTGCTGCTGTTTTGAGAGATTCCTGGTTGATCTCATGGAATCAGTATTAAATCGGGTTGCCAGGTTTAACAAGTAGACATTCTGAGTATGTTTAATGCAAGCAGGATAAATTACTGAAGCAGTACCTCGTCATTTTTCTTTTTTTTGTCATTTTTCTTAATAGCTGATTCTTCCTGTTGCCCTCACTACTTAAAGGCTATCTTATTGGCCACAGATTTAGTGCTATTCATAGTAGGGGGATCCCGATTTCTCTGGAAGAGTTCTAATAGAAAATAATATTCTATTCCAAACTGAAGCACTTTCTCTGGACATCTGTCTGACCTCTGAAACAACGTCAGTACAGATATCTTCCTTGACTAAACACTTGCATAATTTCCTTATATGCTTAGAAAAGACAAGTTATTTTGAGATTGTTACTTTTACTGTGCACTCATTCCCATTCAGAGCAAATCAAGCTCCTCTGCAGAGCTTCTCCTACCAAAGCTTTCTTTATCTTTATTATGCTTTTAGTTGTATTACTGTTATTCATACACTATAGATAGAATCTGAGGAAGCTACTGCTGTGAGGAACTATAGACATTATATTAAAAACCCCTGCATTTCACCTGGAAACTCAAGGAATAAAGATACTTATTGGTATGTCTTACAGTATTTCAGCACTTTTTTTCTGAGATGCAGAGATTCAAGTTTATTTAAACAGTTTCTTTGAGATGTAATTCATAAGCCATAAATTTCAGGGATTTAACTGTACAATTATATTTAATTAGATGTACATGTATAATTGATACAAATTTATACACATAAAAGTACAGTGATTTCATATAGGGAAGGTGGTTTAGTGAATCTTCCCAGAAAAGGTGTGTGATGTAAATTTTGAAAAATTTGTACATATTATCTATGGTGGAATGTTATCTGAAGAGCCAGAAGCAGGCAAAACAGCATACAGAAAATATGAAGGGGACCAAGGTTTTGTATTTGTAAAACTGCACATTTTTTGACTAGTGGAACCTTCATGGCTGGTGGAAGCAACACTAGCAGAGGAGGCTGGAGAGTTAGTGAGGTAGGCAGGATTTTGGAAACTTGTAGGCAGTTGAACACAACCAGGTAATGTTATTGAGAATAGTTCTTTTCTCAGAATATATCAACGGGGAGTTCAGGTTTGACCAGCATGACATGTCTGCCACTCTGTGTCTCCAGATCTTGGGGATGATAAAGGACGAGCTAGGGGAATGCTGCAAGAAGACAGATGAGCTCCTTTGTGACACAGCCAAGATCTTAGCAGGTACACGGGAGGGCTCTGCTCACCGTGGGTAGGGAGGTTCCTGCCGTGCCCTCTGAGAACTCTGACAGGATGAACTTCTGGAACTTCTGTGAACATGCTCTGCTTCATCTGAAAATAAGGTGGCTTGTGGTTTTAGGTCCAGCCAACCAGTCATTCCCAAATCTGCACATTCCTAAACTTGCCCTTGATGTGTGGTCACAGGTGAATATAGCCATGGCCATCTCCTTTTTTCACAATAGTTTGGTCAATGGAAAGTGAAGGTTTAGTGGGTAGAGGAGGTTGTACCTCTCAGGACTGACCGTTGTTTTCTTTCCTCTCTAAAATCTTCTTGAATGAGCAGAATGCCCTGAAGGAGAGCCATCTGAGAGGGAAAAGGAGCTTCTTGAGCAAAAGTATAAGGAGATAAGTCAAAAGGTGGAGGACCAAAAAAAAGACTTTGAAGAATTTGCAGGCAAAATGATAGAGGAAATAGGAAAAAGACAAAAGATTTCAGCAGGTACACGAATGGGCTCAGCACACAATGCGGTGGGGAGGTTCCTGCAGTGCCCTTTAGGAGTGTGATGGGAGGGACTTCCAGAAGCAGGGAGCTTCCTGCCCTGTGTGAAAGTACTCTGTTACATCAGAAAATAACAACGCTGGTTGTGGCTGTAGGTCCAGCCCGACAGTCAGGGATTTTCCTAGGAGATTCCCCACCCTGCCGTTGGTGTGTGAACACTAGTGAATCCAGACATTTCCATCTGCTTTTTCACGACAGTTTGATCACTGAGAAATTGGACAGTTGTGGGGGGAGGGGTGTGGTGTGTGAAGGGTGACAACTCTCAGACCTAACTGCTGTTTCCTCATCTCTCTAACATCTTCCTGGAACAGAAGAGCGAGCCAAGAGAGAGGCAGCTGAGAGGGAAAAGGAGTTTCTTGAGCAAAAGGTTAAAGAGCTGCAGGAACAGCTGGAGGACCAAGAAAGGGTCTCTGAGGAATTTAGAGTCAAAAAGACAGAGAAGCAAAGAGAAAGAGAAAAGACCTCAGCAGGTAAAGGGTGGACTCAGCTCATGGTAGGGTGGGGAGGTTCCTGCAGTGCCCTCCATGACTCCGACAGGAGGAACTTCCAGAAATAGGAGCTTCCTCTTCTGTGAACACACTTTGCTACATCTGAAAATAACAAGGCGAGCTGTGGTTAGAGATCCAACCAGTCATCCCCTTTTCTAGCTCATTCTCGCACCTGCCCCTGTGTGTGGTCACAGGTGAATTTAGACATGTCCATCTGCTTTGCCCAGACAGATTGATTACTCAGAAAGCAAGGGTTGTTGGTTGTGGGCTTGTAGCTCTCAGTGCTGACTGTTGTTTTCTTCTCTCTCTAAAATCTTCTGGAAGCAGAAATGCTGGTCCAATGGAAGATTGCTATGTGGCAAAAGAAGCTTCTTGAGCAAAAGGTTAAAGAATTGCAGCAAAAGAAGCTTCTTGAGCAAAAGGTTAAAGAATTGCAGCAGAAGTTGGAGGACCAAGAAAGAACCTTCAAGAGATTTAGTGTCATACTCACAAAGGAGATGAAAGAAAAAGATGACCTTCTGAGAAAGATGAATGAGAGGATTCAGATGCTGGAGGTATGTCTGGTCTGGGTCTGGGCAGTGACTGGAACAAAGCCTGAACCCTCAGGAAGGGATGGGTGAAAAATAAAACAAAGTCATAGAGAGAAGTACCATTGTTCTTCACTGCTTCTAACTCATTGGAAGCCCTGAGTTTTAAACAAGATTCTTTAACAATTTAAGTTAAACTTCAAGTTTCAAGTTCTTACACAGTTTTATTGAGTTATAATTCACAAACCATAAATTTCAAATATTGAAAATGTATAACATCATTGATACAAATTTACCAAAGTATGTACAGTGATTTCACTTGGGGAATGTGCTTTATGGAATGTTCCTGGGAGAAAAGTGTGGTGTAAAATTTGAAAATTTGTACATATTATCTGAGGTCAGATGTTACCAGAAGGGTTGCAAGCAGTAAAATACAGCCTATGAAAAATGTGGAGCAACATAGGAATGTTACTCAGAGGAGTTGATTTCTCAGAATATTTCAGTGGAAGTTCAGCACAGGTTAGACCTGCCTGACATATTTTTGCCTCTTTCTGATCTCCAGCGCTTACTGAGGTTACCAGAAAAACTAGAGGAACAGGACATGAAGAAAGGTGAGTTCCTTTGTGATGCAGGGAAGAAACCTAACAGGTAGAGCAGGTAGAGAGGAGAGCTTAGCTCACAGTGGGGTGGGAAGGTTTCTGCAGTGCCCTCTCAGACTCTGACAGGAGGAAATTCCAGAAGCTGGGAGCTCTCCTTCTGGGAATGCACTCTGCTTCATCTGAAAAAACAAGGCTAATTGTGGTTGTTGGTCCAGTCACTCAGTCAGGGCCTTTCCTAGAAGATTCCCAACCCTGCCCTTGTGTGTGGTCACAGGTGTATTTAGACATGTCCATCTCCTTTTACATGACAGTTTGGTCACTGACAGAGTGGAGGGCTGTACCTCTCGGGGTTGACTGTTGTTCTCTTCCTTTTCTAAAATCTTCCTGGAGCAGAAGAGCAGGCCAAAAGAGAGGCAACTGAAAGGGAAAATGAGCCTCTTGCACAAAAGGTTAAAGAATTGCAGCAAAAATCGGAGAACCAAGAAAGAGTCTTTGAAGTATTAAGAGTCAAAATGACAGAGGAGTTGAATGAAAGAAAGAAAGCCTCAACAGGTACAGGGGAGGGCTCATTTCACAGCGGGTTGGGGATGTTCCTGCAGTGCCCCCTGAGACTCTGACAGGAGGAAATTCCTGAAACAGGGAGCTTCCTTACCTCCTGTGAACACATACTGCTTCATCTGAAAATAACAGAGTTGTGGTTGTAGGTCCAGCCGGCCAGTCAGGGCCTTTCTTAGCATGTTCCTAGGTGTATGTGGTGTGGAGGAGAAAATGGCAACCTACTCCGGTATTCTTGCCTAGAGAATCCCATGGACAGAGGAGCCTGGTGGGCTGCTGTCCATAGGATCGCACAGAGTCGGACATGACTGCAGCAACTTAGCATGCATGCATGCTTGCATTGGAGAAGGAAATGGCAACCCACTCCAGTATTCTTGCCTGGAGAGTCCCAGGGACAGAGGAGTCTGGTGGGCTGCCGTCTATGGGGCGGCACAGAGTCGGACACGACTGAAGCGACTTAGCAGCAGCAGCAGCAGCAGCAACAGGTGTATGTGGACATGTCTACTTACTTCTTTGGGACAGTTTGGTCCCTGAGGATATGGAGGGTTGGGGGTTGGGGGTTGTAGCTGTCAGGTCTGACTGTTGTTTCCTTCCTTCTCTAAACTCTTCCTGGAGCAGAAGAGCAGATCAAAAGAGAGGCCACTGAGAGGGAAAAGGAGTCTCTTGAAAAACAGGTTGAAGAATTGCAGCAAAATTTGGAGGACCAAGAAAGAGTCTTCCAGAGATTAAGAACTGAACTGACAGAGGAGATGAGAGAAAGTGAAAAGACTTCAGCAGGTACTGAGGGGAGAGCTCATTTCACAGTGGGGTGGGGAGGTTCCTGCAGTGTCCTCTGAGACTAACAGAAAGAACTTACTGAAATGAGGTGTCTCTTTTCCTTCTGTGAACACACTCTGCTTCATCTGAAAATACCAAGGAGAGTTGTGGGTGTAGGTGCATCCAGCCAGTTAGGGCCTTCCCTAACATGTTCCCAAATCTGCCCTTGATGTGTGGTCACAGGCACAGGTGGAAATGTCTACCTGCTTCTTCGGGACAGTTTGGTTACTGAGGATATGGAGGGTTGGGGGTTGGGGGTTGTAGCTGTCAGGTCTGACTGTTGTTTGCTTCCTTCTCTAAACTCTTCCTGGAGCAGAAGAGCAAATCAAAAGAGAGGCCACTGAGAGGGAAAAGGAGTCTCTTGAAAAACAGGTTGAAGAATTGCAGCAAAATTTGGAGGACCAAGAAAGAGTCTTCCAGAGATTAAGAACTGAAATGACAGAGGAGATGAGAGAAAGTGAAAAGGCCTTAGCAGGTACTGAGGGGAGAGCTCATTTCACAGTGGGGTGGGGAGGTTCCTGCAGTGTTTCTCTGAGAACTCTGACTGGAGGAACTTTCAGAAGCAGGGCCCTTCTTTTCCTTTTCTGAACACACTCTATTACCTATGAAAACAACAGGTCAGTTATGGTTGTGGGTCCAACCAGCTAGTCAGCACCTGTCCTAGCACACTCTCACACCTGCCCTTGATGTGTGGTCACAGGTGAATTCAGACATGCCCATCTGCTTTTTTCAAAGAAAGTATGGTCACTGAGAAAGTGGCGGGTTGGGGATTGGGGATTGTACCTCTGACTGTTGTTTTCTTCCCTATGTATAATTTTCCTGGAGCAGAAAAGCAGGCCAAAAGAAAGGCTGCTGAGAGGGAAAAGAAGCTTTTAGAGCAAAAGCTTAAAGAATTGCAACAAATGTTTGAACACGAAGAAAGAGCCTTCAAGGCATTTAGAGTCCAAATAACAGAAGAGGTGAGAGAAAGAGACAACTTTCTGAGAAAGATGAATGAGAGGATTGAGATGCTGGCGGTGAGTCTGGTCTGGGTCTGGGCAGTGACTGTGGAGCAGAGTCCTGGAAACTCAGGAAGGGATGGGTGACAATTAAAGCAGTGTTGTAGAGAGAAGCACCATGATTCTTTACTGCTTTAGATTCCTAGAAACCCTGGGATTTTAACGGGTTGTCTGGACACTTGAGTTCTGTTCATAGTGAGTTTGTCAAGAGTCCAGGAAGACCTTGATACTTTCAAGAATTTATAGACTATAGACAATTTTCCCAGGGTTTGTGCTGCTGTTTTGAGGGATTCCTGGTTGATCTCTGGACTTTTCCTGGAGCCAATATTAAGTGGGGTTCCCAGGGCTGGCAGGTGGATGTTCTCAGAAGCAGATATTGGTTCACTTTACTAAGCTTCCTGCCAGTTTTCAGACTGCTACTACATCCAAAGACCCTAATATAGATCCTTGCTAACCTAACGTGTTCAAATATGCACAGACTTAGACATATGGGCAACTGCCAGCTCCTAATTTGGCTGCAGCTGTCTCCAGGTGAGTTTAAACTGCCAGAGTCAGCCTTCAGTAGAGGAGAAGTTCTATCCTCTCCCATCTGGAATTATTTATATCAGTTTTCTCGATCAGCTTAGGAGTTCTCAGTATTTCTAAGATGTGGAGAGAATTTGTGCCATTCACAAGGAAGGCCCTCACCCAAATAGCATAAATGTGGCTGAAATGTCTTATAACAATTGTCCTCATGCCTGGTTAGGACTGTAGGGAAACCCTAGTGATGGGTATGAGTAAGTTTGTGCTATGCATCCTCTCACCATCCAAACCTAAACCAGGAGATATTTCTGATGAGCATAATAAATTCTCATGATCCTTTAAGAAAGAACTCTTGAAAAGAAAGCAAATTGTTAATGGAAAACCTTGATTTTGAAACATTGAGATTTTGGAAGGTTTCTGTTCACTCACACATCATACATTTTCAGGCTGCAGTGAACAGTGACAATGAGAAGGATAATGAGGAAAACACTGGGAAGGACCGTACGTCATAGACACAGGAAGATAATGACAAAGAAAATACTTTACAGCCTTTTGTTTTAGCCTCAGTTTGGGAGAAGATAAAACATGTGTGCTCACAAATCACTCAGATATTTTGTTTGTTTCTTTTGAATTCTGGTAATATTAAAAGTTTTCACAAGTGCTTTTTTGATCTGGAGTGTTTTTATTTATGTATGTACTTTTTCTTTTATCATTAAAGTTTTAATGTAAAAAACAGGAAAATCATCTACTATAGTAGATCAGTTCCTGGCCCACAAAGGAAAGAATTAGTGTGGCTGGGTAGTTAATTTAGGTGGAAATGAAGCAACTGAGGAGAAGACAAAGAGATGGTCAATTTTGTGATCTCTTGAAAAAAAGAAAAATTTTATTAAGTAATGCGTCTGAAAGTCACATATGAATAACTATACAAATGAATATGTATACTGTTTCCTTGAGAGGAAAGGACTAATTTCTTATACAAAACAGTTGTGTTACTTCACCTGTAAATTTTATGTGTTTTGAGTTAAAATTTCACAAAAGCTGATTGTAAATTTTAAATTGAGCTGATCAAACACATTAAAAAGCCATGAAAATTCAGAAGGGGTATAGGGTTTGGGAAGTTTTCAGCCATAATTTCTTCTATAAATGAAGTTTATAGAACTGCAGTCATTAGAACAATGTGCCATCAAGGCAGAAATATGAAGACAATAACAGCATGCTACATAGTCTAAAAATAGAACCAACAACATACCTGATTAAAGTTATGTGAATAGTGTTGTTTCAGATCAGTGAGAAAATATAAACAGTACATGAAGTGTTGTCAGTCTACTGGACAGCCATATAGAATGAGAGTGACTAGATCACTTATAAATCTTGCACGAAGAATATTCCAGCTTGACTTTAGATTTAAACATTAAAAATAATCTTGATAAAAAAGGTAAATGTCAGATAATTATAAAATAAATGTGGAAACTTGAATTTATTTGTAAGTGACATAAAACTCAAAGATACACCTTTTATCATTTTGATATCCTCTTTTATTTTATTTTCCATTTATTTTTATTAGTTGGAGGCTAATTACTTTACAATATTGTAGTGGGTTTTGTCATACATTGACATGAATCAGCCATGGAGTTACATGTATTCCCCATCCTGATCCCCCCTCCCACCTCCCTCTCCACCCGATCCCTCTGGGTCTTCCCAGTGCACCAGGCCCAAGCACTTGTCTCATGCATCCCACCTGGGCTGGTGATCTGTTTCACTATAGATAATATACATGTTTTGATGCTGTTCTCTCGAAACATCCCACCCTCGCCTTCTCCCACAGAGTCCAAAAGTCTGTTCTGTACATCTGTGTCTCTTTTTCTGTTTTGCATATAGGGTTATCATCACCGTCTTTCTAAATCCCATATATATGGGTTAGTATGCTGTAATGTTCTTTATCTTTCTGGCTTACTTCACTCTGTAAAATGGGCTTCAGTTTCATCCATCTCATTAGAACTGATTCAAATGAATTCTTTTTAACGGCTGAGTAATATTCCATGGCATATATATACCACAGCTTCCTCATCCATTCGTCTGCTGATGGGCATCTAGGTTGCTTCCATGTCCTGGCTATTATAAACAGTGCTGCAATGAACATTGGGGTGCACGTGTCTCTTTCAGATATGGTTTCTTCAGTGTGTATGCCCAGGAGTGGGATTGCTGGGTCATATGGCAGTTCTATTTCCAGTTTTTTAAGAAATCTCCACACTGTTCTCCATAGCGGTTGTACTAGTTTGCATTCCCACCAACAGTGTAAGAGGGTTCCCTTTTCTCCACACTCTCTCCAGCATTTATTGCTTGTAGACTTTTGTATCAGGATGATAGCTTTGTAGCAGCCATCCTGACTGGCGTGTAATGGTACCTCATTGTGGTTTTGACTTTCATTTCTCTGATAATGAATGATGTTGAGCATCTTTTCATGTGTTTGTTAGCCATCTGTATGTCTTCTTTGGAGAAATGTCTGATTAGTTCTTTGGCCCATTTTTTGATTGAGTCATTTATTTTTCTGGAGTTGAGCTGGAAGAGTTGCTTGTATATTTTTGAGATTAGTCCTTTGTCTGTTGCTTCGTTTGTTATTATTTTCTCCCAATCTGAGGGCTGTCTTTTCACCTTGCTTATAGTTTCCTTTGTTGTGCAAAAGCTTTTAAGTTTCATTAGGTCCATTTGTTTATTTTTGCTTTTATTTCCAATATTCTGGGAGGTGGGTCATAGAGGATCCTGCTGTGATTCATGTCGGAGAGTGTTTTGCCTATGTTCTCCTCTAGGAGTTTTATAGTTTCTGGTCTTACATTTAGATCTTTAATCCATTTTGAGTTTATTTTTGTGTATGGTGTTAGAAAGTGTTCTAGTTGCATTCTTTTACAAGTGGTTGACCAGTTTTCCCAGCACCACTTGTTAAAGAGGTTGTCTTTTTTCCATTGTATATCCTTGCCTCCTTTGTCGAAGATAAGGTGTCCATAGGTTCATGGATTTATCTCTGGGCTTTCTATTCTGTTCCATTGTGATATCCTCTTTTATATATTCATGTTTATCATTTTATTGTTCATTTTCGTTGTCACCACTTTCACAGAAACTTTTTTGATTTTTAAAACTCTGTGTATTTGCTTAAGTGATTTACTTTCCTGTTGTGATTTTCTCTTTCCTATAGATTCTTGTTTCTTTTCTATTTAGAGAAGATCTTTCAATATTTCTTTTAGGATAGGTTTAGTATTTCTGCAGCTTTTGTTTATCTGAGAAATTATCTCTCCTCCTGTTCTAAATGGTAATTTACTGGGTAGAGTGTCCTAGGTTGCAAGTTTTTCCCTTTCAGGACTTTGAATATATCTTTCAACTCCCTTCTGGCCTGCAAATTTCTGTAGAAATTTTCTGTAGAGAAAATTTTCTGTAGAAATTTCTGTAGAGAAATCAGCTGATAGACTTACCAGAGTGCCCTTGCAATTAACTCTTTGCTTTCTCTTGCTTCCTTTAGAATCCTCTCTTTAATATTTTGCCATTTCAATTGTAACATGTCCAGATCTGTTTGGGTTCATCTTGTTTCTTCATTTTACTTATCTGCTTCTTCATTTTACTTATATTTTTCTGGCTCTTTGAATTTAGGTGTAAGAGCACTGTTACTCCTAGGGAAGTAACTATTTGCAGGGAAGTGTGGTTCCTGTACCTGGATATCTGTTTCCTTTTTAGGCTTGGGAAGTTTTCAGCCATAATTTATTCAAATACATTTTTGATCCCCTTTTCTCTTCTCCTCTGAGATCCCTATTATGTGTCTATTGGGATACTTTATATTATCTTATGCTTGCTTTCATTTTTCTTAATTTATCTTTCAATTTGCTGTTCTGATTGGGTGATTTCTGTTGTTTTGTCTTCCAGAGCACTTATTCATTCTTCTGCATTATCCAGTTTGCTATTTGTTGTCTTTAACTCCAATTTCATCTCTGCAAATGAGTTTTCTAATTTCAGTTGACTCCTCTTTATAGTTGCTTGTTCCTCTTTACAGTAATTTGCAATTCTATCTATAGCCTTTCTTAATTCCTTCAGTATTTTCATTGATCCTTTTTGAAATCATAATCTGATATACCAGAGAAGTTTGTTTCATTGTTTGTTTTTTGAAGGGAATTCTCTTCCCTTCAAAAAATTACTTCCCTAGAAGTAACAGTGCTCTTAAGCCTAAATTCAAAGAGTCAGAAAAATGTAAGCAAAAGGAAGAAGCAGTCAAGAGAATCAAGAAAATTCAAAAAATCAGAATTCTTTTATTTTGATAAAAAAATCAAGAGAATACTCTTCAAAGAACAAACTGTTATCTATTGTGCTCTTGTGGGCTTCCTAGATGGCACTAGTGGCAAAGAATCCACCTGCCAATGCAAGAGATGCTAGAGACCCTGGTTCAATCCCTGGGTTGGGAAGATCCCTTGGAGAAGGAAATGGCAACCTACTCCAGTATTCTTGCCTGGAAAATC